AACTGTCGACCTCTTTCCCATTTCTTCTGCCCGATTAGCGATAGACTCGGAATTTCAAAAGAAGGAAAAAATCCAGACTCGACGAAGAAAAAAAAGCCGCGCCAGAGGGGCGTACCTGAGAGAACTGCTGAATCCGGTTCCCTTGTGCGATGCAAAACCGCAGTTCCAGACAAAATCGTGACAAACCCGCAAAGCTCTGATGCTATGCTGCTAGCCCTTTGGCCAGAGTAATCCTATAGATCATCAGCAAGAATGATAGAGTTCAATTCTCTCTCGAAAAAAAGTACCTTTTTCAAGAGTTCATAACATGTAATGTAATTACCTTGAACATAATGGCACTGGCTAATATTGTAAAGGATGTGAACCCGGCATAGTAGATGGGAGAAACAACTGCTGTATTGAAAGTATCCAGTGCCTGCAATCACAAGAATGCAAAGTACTTCTAAATTATCTCTTACCTAATTACATGCGCACATCATATCCAACATATCCTACATAAAGCTTCAGAACATATCAGCACATAAACACACACACACACGCAAATACCAGAACATGTAAGAAACCGAACGACAAAGGAACTATTTCCTTTTACCATAGGTGAGTTAGGGCAGGGATCGAATGTTAGTAAGCATAGGGGAGATCATATTTACTCGTCTATGCAGAAGATTAATAAAAATAATGCCCATATAACAGAAGAGGAGTCCATTGAAACTCATTCTTAGCTTTAGCAAACCCTCCTAGTGCATCAAGATTCATCTTCGAAAACGTTGGTATGTTTCCTACTTGTCTGTTAACAAAGTGAATTTACACCATAAAGGTTCCAGGAATGATGATTCTTTCCCATCACTGATAACAACAAATAATGAAGTACTAAACCAACTTCGAAGAGAAGGAGAGTACTCAGTCATTCAATAAGTGAAATATATTCTATGCAAAAATATGGAGAAGCTTTTAAAGTTAAAAAAAAAAAGCCGGATCATTTAACAGAACAATGACCTTCACAGTTTTAGAATGCAAAACTAATCTCTTACGCTCTGAATTCGGTCGTATGCAATTTCAATAGATTCGCAATAGATCTTTGTATGGTCTATCCCTCCTTGTGTGTAATGTGGGCAACACTTGAACATTGACCTCAACTAATGAGGTGCTATATCCTATAGGAAAAATCTGTGCATGGAAGATCCAACGCTCAAGATTTTTTGTTCTTCACAATCTCTGTTTTGCCAACAGACTTGTAAGTACAGCTGTGTGCGCAATACGCAACAGCTACCAATGATATGAAGAATCAATTGTAAACACAGAAACACCGCCAAAGGACTCATCAAAATGACCAATATAAGTACTGGGGTAAACCACGGGATAGAAAACGAAGAGTATAACTTATAAGTGAAACAATCATGAAGCAATTCGTTTTATTCAAGTTCCGACACGCCATGAACAAAATTACGATAAGATCCACACCACATGTTCTTTTTCATCATTCCGCTAGTAACAGCCATATGAGATAGGTGTTCCAACTTTTGGATAGTAAAGTCTCGTCACATTGCATCACAAATAGACAAGCAGAAAAAAATTGAGGGCAACAAAATACTTACCATGTTCAGATAATTCAATTGAATGATAATGCAGGTAATTGCTACTGTTGCGAATATCCATGTCTGGTAGTATTTAGCCTGGTTTATGCCTTCTAATGTAAGTTTTATCGCAATTCCAATGGCTTTCACACTCATGACCTGAACAAAGACGTGCCAGAAAAAGTCAATCTAGAAACTGGAAGAGCGCAATGCCAGGGAAAGTAACGTAGAAGAACATATGAAACTAACAAAACCAGAGAACAGATGTTCAGTATCAGCACATGAATAAGAAAATAAAGGAAAATAACTTACTGTCAGAGATCCGATAATAGAGCATATCCCTATATACACCATTATATTCTCTTGGCCATAGCGTGGAGCACAATACAAGATTAATACCAGGGCAATGGCCACCACCAAACCGGAATATATAAGAAAAGCTGGAAAATAAAAACAGAAAAGAAGAAATGAACTTTAAGGAAAACAGGCAGCCCGGTAAATCTGGAGACTAGAGCACAGCGCATACCTGGTTGGGTAGCTAATGCCCACATTTCATCAACCGA